CAAACTAGGACTTATACGAACGACAAAATCGGCTGCAAATCTTCAAAATAAACATCACATTGGTGTGTATGTTCGCTCTTTAACATGTAATCATACCTTTTTAGCGATAATTCTTACTTCAAAGTTGCTCCATGCGGCTATTTTTAGCACAACTTGCAAAGTTGCGTAACCCGATGACAAGACAATATCTCACTCGCACTTGTAAACTATTATAAAAAAATCATATCGTTGTCAGTCCATTACCAGTTATCTCCACAGTTATATTTAATACCCAAAGATGTCCCGTTTAATTCCGGAACGCTATAATATGGCACCACGGCTCGCAGTTTTAGAACTCTCTCGTGTTTTTAGACTCCACAGCAACGGTAACTAGGCATAGTGTCTACACAATCACAAACACACGAAGTCATTTTATAATTTTAATTTTAACTTCATCATTACAAAACCAAGTTCGTGTGCTGTGATCTAACTACATGTATCAGTATTTAGGCAGACATATGACATGTAGGTCATGTAAATTTACCGAACCCGTCCTGTGATTACCATACCAGCCTTATCGAGTGCAGTTGAAATATTACGGAAAAATTGCCGTATATCGAACGTTATTGTCAAAATTTAATATACTATCGTATTTCTCGAAACTGTTTATACTATGTCATGATAGTAAACGTATGTAAATGAACACAAACACGTAGAAAAACACAACCCTGTATCAGTCGGTGTGGATCATCATAGAGTCGGGCGCTGTAAACAACGTGACGTCATCGAAATGTATAAATTTCAACAATGTATATATACATTTCAACAATGTATCTTTTGCATGAAGTATCCCCAGTACTTCTGTTTACTTCCGAAAATAGCAATGGAAACCCCCGGATTGTTAACGTACAAATGTGTACACGGTGTATGTATTACTACGCGCACGGGAATGACTGTCGTTATCGAGTGATACATGTAACGATAATGACCTCAACAACGGTTATTGAGTCGATTACACTTGAAACTGTAAATATTATATAGTAACTTGTGCTGCCAGCAAAAAATAAATCAATAGCAGTTGCAGTTGGTATGCGGGACGTCGTTTGTAGGAAGGCCCTATTTGATATTCATCCGAATTGGAACAAGTAACAGCTGAAGCGATTCATTGATATCTTTTAATTCCTCTTTATGGCATCACTTAGTTTAGTTTAAGGTATAACAAAATACAATTTGTTGTTTATAAAATTGTACATTATTCATTGTACACACTATATGGATTAATAAAACAGGTATAAAATCTTTAGATATGGCATCATTATATCAATTAGTCATACAAAATGGAATAAAATCACTAACCCATTTGCAGATCACACTCACATGTACACACACAAGAATAAACACTGACCTTCACATTCTATATACCTTTTATAATAATAATAATAATAATGATACCGAATGACGAAGGTATGTGTAATAGGGTGATTACTTATTTAGCCACATCTATGAAAACATAACAAAAAAAACCATGATTTTTGTCACGACGATATTTAAAACGAGAAAAAAAAGCCATGGAAGAAAATTTACAAATAATAACCTCGATTAAGGTCGATATAATTATTTATCAACCTGAGAGGATAATATTTTTCCGAGGCGGGAGACCGGAGGAAATATACATGTAGAAGTTTCCTAAATCATTTTATCGGCTTAAGTATTGCTGAATTATGTATGACACTATACAAACAAGATCAGATACAATTATATTTCTGTGAGTCGAAGTAACTGTGAGTACTCCAATCCCACCTAAACAGGCTGACAATCTTTATAAGTTACCTATACCATATTAAAGAAGAAAGATTTGGAAAAAATAACATTCAAAAGATCACATTGTCTTTCTACATAATTTCCCCTTTTAGCCATTTTTAGGTTACTTACTCATCTGAGTCGTCGATATAAATTGATCTGTCAGACATCAACGATTGTAATGAAACTGCAGAAACTTTGTCAATCATAAAGATTAACGTATCCTCCGTTTGTGCAATCTCCATTCAACATCTTCATGACGTTGGTATTGATTTGCTTAAAGATATATTAAGTCATAAATCAAAAACCACTTATATTTCTCAAGATATTTGCTTTCCTGTAAATTCTCGTGGAGAGAGAATCGCGAGTGAACATATCATGTGAAATATTGTAAACACAAATCAAAAAGCTGCAGAAGCATAGACTTGATGTTCCTATGCCCTTTGAAATCCTGAGGAATTCTTCGTTGGAAAAAAAGCAGCAAAGAAAGTACTCGTAAAATAAAGCAATTTACAACAGTAAAATATGTCTTTTTATCAAAGTAAAATTTCTATTTTTATATATAAATAAAATATCTTTACTATCAACCAAAAACAAAGATAAATATATAAGTACAAATTATTCGAATATAAATCAAGACTAAATGCGTATTTTTTTGTAGTAGTAGACTCCAGATTTAACAGTACTGTGTCAGGTACGAAAATATCACAGAATGAAACAAAAATATATAGAAGAAAAACAGGCCACACAGCAGTTCCACATATATTAACATAATCACTATAGAGACGTCACAGTAGTATGCTGTTGGTGGTGTGATGAGAAAGTTGTTTATAAGGCCAATGGGGGCTAACTTTTGTCGTTCATTGTATGCGAAGCCTGATCGGACTGCACAATGGACATTTCAATTATATAAGAATGAATCATCAAATTGATAATACTATGAAAATATCTTAATAAGATGAACAGGACGAAACCCATACCACATGCAACCAAGAGGCTTGAAATTGTTTGTATGAGATAAGGCTCAGATTTCCATGAAAAGTCGTTGTCCATATTTCAGTATATTACGTAGGATGTCAGTTGAATTGTAATGTTAACGATCACTCTATTATAGTCAGCACTCAATCTTGACATTTACTTTCGTGCTGTCCTGATTAATGATGAATTAACGCATAGTTATGTTGAATAATAGTTAAATTAACCTGATAAAATTATTAACCTCGACTTGGTCTCGATCGATATCTTTTTCTTAGGTTCATATAACCGCATATGCATCTCTACAGAAGTCCATACCTGACAAATGCTATTTATTAATCGTAAATGTTTAAGTGTCACGGCCACTGTTATTGCATAATACATTGTGATGGGATAAGATATACGCGATGTCAATGTTCTAAACGATTTAAAGTTACACCCCTTAAATATTTATCAATTTAAACTTACATCACTGATTTGTTGCATTAGTTAATGATATAAAAGTATAAATGCATGCTACAAAGTTTCTACATGAAACATATGAAATAAATAGCAACAGCCACTCTATGTCCAAGCTTTCGTCTTTGACCTTCACCAGGGCCGTATCTCTGATGAAGGGCTAAGCCCAAAAGCTTGGACGGAGAGTGACTGTTGCTATTTATTTTATCATTAAGGTATACACCATTGCGTTACAAGGGAATAATTTGTCTCTCCTTTGGATGACATTTAGAGGCAAGTTTCACTATACATTAAACAGTCTAGAACCGTTATCTACCCGTTTGATAAAGGTAATGACTCTCAAGACTGATGACAGAAGGAACGCAATATCTATATATATTAACACACTTGTACTGTTATACAAATATCTGTTTTTGTCTAACTTTCGTTCATTTTACAAACCTTTTAATCACACTGTTTCCTTACACCTCACACATATTAGCATTAAATCTAACACTTAGATGTAATTCTAGGCCAATTTATAATCATTACTACACACACGCACTGAACACATAAAAGAGATAATGCCAAAACCTGCTTTTTAAAGCAAAAATACAATTTTACATCGTACTTGTCAAAACATGTGTTTGTCATGGATTCAGCGAATTTCTATGATTTAATGAAAATGAAATTTTCAAAAAGTAGACAGGTAATAATTATAACGAAATATGTTTTAAAACATTCATAATAAATAACGCACAATAGGTAAGTGGCCTGTTGGTGTGCATAGCAATATTGATATACTTGTAGCACGGTCAGTTGTACAGGTTTCTTTCCCGAATATGAATATATATACATTTAATGGTAAAATATGCAAAAAGAGTAAGGACGTCATGTGTATGTCGACAAGCACTATGAATGCAAAAGGCACATAATGAATTGAGCATTATATTTCAGCGAACAAATTCAACCCTATCTACATATAAAACAATGTCATTGCTAAACTGATACTTGATAGTTGGTAATTATCGGACATTAATTTGACAAAAAGAAAAGAAAAAAAGAAATCACCAAGTCTTTTATCTCTCGCTCAATTTCTTGTCTTCCATACCAATCGATGTATTGATTTTCATATTAGGTGGGTCATATTTTCATCAATATAAAGACGTCAGCAGGCAATTACAAAAGAAAATTCAATCTCAAACGCCATCTGCCTCCATAGTTTGGATGTGCAAGACATACAAATTATAAAAATAGAGTGAGTATGGCCACAATTAAAAGCCTAGCTCTTCCAAAGCACACAATGCGTACCACTCAATTTTCAACTTCTCGTGTATTAACTAACATTCCAGCAGCCAGTGACTGGTTTTGACCAACCAAAGCTTCACTAACGTTCCGTGAATAATACTGTTACAACAATTAATAACCTTATATATATATAATTTCTAAGATTAACAAAATTACAGAAATTGGATGTTCCTCCTAATAATTCATATTTTGCTAATACATGCATGTTTGACATATTATTTATTGTGAGTTTGAGTAAGCAGTTGTTATTATAAACACACAGACATGACTTACAAAAAAAGTATTTTTAAAATGCATCGTTCTTTTCATTTATTGTAGTGTTGATACATGAACATGCAAAGCGTTCACAGTAAACTACATGTATATGTACAATGTATGTTATTCCGTCTTTGCGTATTGCAGAGTTATCTTCTCTTGGGAGCAGATATTGATTGTTACGTCATTGGTTTGTGTGAGAAAATTACGTCGTTTTCTCAAAAATTGATGACGTTACTCTCTTAAACAAGTGACGTAACAATCAATACCTGTTATCAAGAGAAGATAACTCTGCAATATGCAAAGACGGAATAGTCATCTGATTAGGGTTCAATTCGTCTCATCAGCACACCATCACGTGTCTTATAACAACAGAAAACATTGACTTGCATGTAATGTGAACATTGAGGAGTGTCGATGTATATATGTTAACACTTAAAGCTGCTTTATGAAGATAAGTTTGTAATCTAGTATTTCGCAGAGGGAAGACTAGTCATCGTCACCTATTGAAATTAGGGTATGGTATTATTAAAGCACTTCTGCTTTGTGAATTAAAAACCGTTTTGATATTCACTGTTTTCACATCAGCCTGGCCTGAACCTCCTGTGACTTCTGATTATCAAGACTTGCATTCGTGAGAATGGGACACCCAATGGTTCAGCTGCAAAATTAATCATTTAGATATAATAACATTAATACCTACAAAAAATAGCATGGATTGTATAAAATGTCAGTCACACTTAATTCATCACTGTTAGTTTGTACAACTTTATCGTAGCATGTGAATTTTCCATTTCATCGCTTAAATAGAGAACGAATTTAGTCTTTCCCTTCCATGATTCAAGAAGCTTGCTTTGAGAGATCTAGAAAGAGATAAATTTTACTGGAATAGGTCATTTGCAAAATAAAGCCAAACGCATGAATGCGTAATGAGCCTGATACAGATGTTGATAACACGCTCACCTGACACGCCTGGCTGCAGTACCAGATACGTTTGCAACTAGAACAAAGGAACATGGCTGACTTCCCACACACTTTGCAGTTGCCGTTGATTTGCTGTAGCTGTGGAGGTGTTTCTCGTTGCACTACGGTTGATGAATGTATAGTAGTTGTTGGCAGATTTTGTGCAAACCTAGCACCCTGTTGAACCGTAGCGGGTGGATGTACATGGCTGTAAGTCTGAAATATAAATAACATTGTATCAATTCTGGAAAGATACTTATTTTAACCGATTAAGGAAAAAAATCTCAAATAATTAAAACCTTTTATTGTTGGAGCTATATTTTAATACTTTGCTTTAATCAGCAGCCTTATCATTAAGTTATACAAGGGTCTGATATGTATTTGCGTCTTACCATTGCAATGCCAGTGTTGGTTTGAGCATTTGTAGGACTATTTTGCAATGCCTCATGCACAGTTGAAGGCACACGGGCTGCACCTTCCGGCCTGTCGGTAATTTGTTGATGATGAGGCACACTAGACTGTTGTACTGACATGCTGTCACTTGCCATTTCTACCACTTGTACTGGCGTAGTGTGGTGCTGATGAGCTACATATAAAACAAAAATGTTGTGATGTCATTATTGGTTTTTGTCATCAATGTCTTGAATCTTTAATCAAATTTTCAGCCTTCTAATAAGTTTTAACTTGCTAAAAAACACAAAGAAACATATAAAAAGACAGTTCCACATATGAAGTAACATTATACAGTTTTACATACCTGTTACAACTGGACATCTGTTGAAGTCTGTGTTGACCGTGGAAGCCGTTTGACTTATGACCTGTCCATGGGCAACTGTCTGGTGATACGTAATAGGGTAACGAATATTACTGGTAACCTCTATAGGTTTTGAGACACTTTGTCGTTGATGCTTATCTTCCATTGTCGTCTCTGACACGTTCGGATAAAATCCACTCACATTAGTCCGCAAAGGAACTGTTCGTGCACCGACAAGAACTCGATGAGATGGATCATTCAAACTTGTTTGCGGGATGGTTGCCATGACACCGTGAGGACGCTGTAGCACCAGCAATTGATCTTGGTTGCCGGATATGCGAGACTGACTAGCAGGAACTATATTACTTAAACTTTGGTTCGAGACAGTGACCGGAACTCGAAGTCTGTTGGCCAGTTGCGTCTGTATTATAGGATTTACATTCTGACGGCCATAAGGTGTCATAAATCGAGAATGTCCTATAGGAAGATTTTGTGTATGCATTTGGCCTTTACTCATATTTACGTGTATAGGTGTGGCAGGGAAGATGCCCTGTGGCACATTTGCTTGTTGTAGATTTTGTCGAACAGTTTGTGCTTTTGATGGTTGTTGGAACTGCTGTGTTATATGTTGTTGAGATTGTGCTTGTTGCAGTTTATGGCGTTGTTGAAAGTTCTGTTGCTGTCTTTGTAGTTGTTGCTGCTGTTGGATATGTTGTTGAACATGTTGTTGTTGTTGTTGTTGTTGTTGTTGTTGTTGCTGTTGCTGCCGCTGCCGCTGCTGTTGTTGTTGCTCCTGCTGCTGTTTCTGAAGCATAATCTGTTTTCTTTTTTGCTCACGCATAATCATTTCAAGTTGTGGATTCTGGGGCTGATTTGGCAACTGTTGGCTGGCTTGTTGTCGTTGACTAATTCTCTGTGAATACTGTTGTTGTTTTCTCTCTGCTTCTTTTATCTGTTCTTGGGCATCTTCTTGGATTTGATGAAAGATCGTTGGATCTATATTTGGAATTTGTGATTGATCTGTTTTCATTTTTGATTTTTGATTTGTGTTTTCAGGATCTTCAAATCTTTGGCGTTTTGCCAATGCTTCATTCAATTCCCGTTGAACTACGACTTCTGTATCTTGACGCTTATCAAATGTTTGTGACGGCTTTTCAGTTTGTTGTTGTAAACTGTTGCCTGGAGACGTTGTATTCATATTCACCACAGTTTGAGGCGGCGACACGTGTTTTATGTCTTGTTGGCCTTCATTTTGAACTTTCGGTTTCACATTTCCTTCTGATCTGATATTCATGCTGTCAGATGAAGAGGTTTCCGGGACACCTGATGATGAAACTGTAGTTTTTGTGTTAGTAGTGCCTGACCCATCTTTAATGGTGTTGGATGATGATAACTGTCGAGCTAATTTCGTTTTATGTTCCAAAAACGACGGTAAAGGGTAAATCAATTGTCCTGCACTTTGGAATGGAGTTTGACTGTGAGCTTGTGGTGGTCCACTTTTGGGAGACTGGCTGATAGAAGACTCGAATGGAGGCTTTGTCAGTGGATCCTTTCTCTTCATGAAAAGACCTGTTACTTCAATATTTGCTGGTTTCAGGACCTTGCATTTGTCGATTTCTTGATTAAGTTCCATTATGTTCACTCTTGCATTCATGTGAGCTGGAGCCGGATTACCTGATGCATTAGTGCGTTTCCTCTGGGCATGGCGAGAAGATAGGTCATGTCTTTGTCTGTAACGCAAAGCGTTATTGATTTTCCCAAGTAACTCCGCTTGTTGCTTAGATCGCATATCACCACACTGCATCTCATGAGAAGCGGTAGCAAGGTTGACAGCAAGTGTTTGACTGGGATTCCCATTTACAGGCTGGATATCCAAACTGCCACCATTTAGATTGCGGGATTTTCTTTGGATGCCCAATTGTCTTAACAAATTTGCCTTTTCATTCTTTAATCTAATCAATTCTTCCCTTTCCTTTGCCATTCGTGCTTCACGTACTTGAATTTGTCGATATTCTCTAAGGTGTTTACAAACTTCTTTTTCCATGTCCTCCGGTTTAGGAGATATTTTAATAGACTGGTCCATTCGTCCAATATTTTCCCTACTAAGACCGGTGAAAGAGTACTTTTTATCATCTTGTATATAGGACTGGTTTGTCAGCATGCTGCTTTTCTGTAAAGGGCTCGGAGTTGACGTTGAGGATACGGTGTTCACAGCTCGAACCGAACTTTCATGGTTAACTGTCGAACTAATACTGCTATTTTTGGATATGGTGATAGAATTAGTGGATGTATACAGACGTTCTGTGCTTTCCGTGGCAGTTGTTGACGGCGTGCTGCAGGACGAGCTAGAAATGTCAATGTTTGCTTGCAAACGTTTCACTCTGTGTTCTTTCATTTGGTCAACATTGTTTGTTTTGCACGATAAATCTGAAGGTTCACTATCACTTGTAATCGTATGGTTGGCAATAGGATGTATCTTTCGCTCTGACGTTTCCTCTTGCTCTGACGCGTCCTCATGCACGAGTTTAATGTCTGCCTCCGGTTGGTTGCTCTGTTCTGTTTAAACATAATATCAAATTAGGTCAGGCTTATATACTTATATGTGATATAGTTCTGTTTACAACTCTTCAAGTATCTGCATTATGCTGTTATTGAATTTCAGATTGAAGGTTGATTAATGTTATTACTGGATTATTTTCATACAATCAATATAACATTAGCAACCCAAAATAGTTCATTTTTTCATATCGTGGATTCCTGATTTTATGACGAAAAAACGTAACTCAATGTAACACCTTAAAGCACATCCTTACACACAACGAAATGTACCAGGGACCAGCTGTGATTTGTTTTGGGACGGAAGACATGATAAATTAATATGTACATGAAAAGATACATTTCCTTACTGACTATTCAAGGATCCCCATACCGCTACAAAATACTTTAAATGCGCATTGAAAACTGTCTTTTTGTCCGGCATGTATTTGGCTTTGATTATAATTGATGACAAGAAAATCATACTTTCAATAAGATGACATTCTAAACAACATAGTTCCAACAACAAATATGACACACAAAAAAGCTGTATAAAGTCGTATATCTATTAATATTTATCAAAGTTTAAATAATTTGATAAAATATTTGCCTTCCTTTTTTTTTTTTTAATGGAGTCCATGCACTTCAAAAACAAAGAAAGGAACTACATACCATTCACTACTTTGTTTTGTCCAAATATATGGCAATGTTTGCTTAGTTTGAATTATATTTCTGTATCCCAGATAATGTGTGTGAAGTTTGTGTAAGCGGATAAAAAAACATATGTTAGAACGAAGATATGTGATAGCATTGGATACAGTTAAAACAAGTGTTGCCAAGTGCTGCAATACTCACAGATTAGTGGTTATCACACAACAAATAAGTTCTTAGATTGATATTGCGAAATGAAGCCATCAAAATTAAATAAAAGACAAAATATACGAAAAGAAACTGACGAAACATATATCCGGTAAGTTACGTTTTATACCGGATTCATTCGATCTTGGGTCCACTTGGGCAGATGAAAACTAGAGAGAAATACTAAGATTAAAATCGTCAAACTACCAATAACTGCTCATAAAAACGGAATCTAAAGAAAATAACCGGTAAATCATGTTTTACACTTTTATTATGCTTCTATTTGACCTGATGAAATATCAAAAACAATTACTGATTGTAAGATCACTAAATAACATAAAAGCAAATAAAAACGGAACTGAAGAGGAAAATATCCGGTAATTTCCGTCCTTACATCATTTTGTATTTGAAAAACCTTTATTTTTCTTTGAAAACCGGATACATGTTTTTCTCTGTAACTTTCCCTTTATTTTGGAATCAAAACAAAATGTGGAAAGAAGAACAACAATCGAAAGACAGAAAATGATATAGAGAAACGTGACTTGATTATGATCGAAACTCACAACAAATCAACAAAGAAAACCATTGAACGTGAGAAACAGGAATGCCCATAAAACAACTAACCCGGCGGCCAATAATCCGATCTACTATACGGTATGTCATTTAATCATAATGGTCGAAATAAATGCAAAGGAAGATTATACAAGGAAGAGGAATAGACTATGAAAGCACTGTCCAAGTACACTTCTTACAGCATTCAGGAAACCAAAACATAAGAAGTCGTAATTATGAGTTCTAATAATTATCAACGGGAACAATAACTTAATAAACAATACAGAATTAGAACAGCAGACATAAAAATAATGGAGAAATCAAGCTCCCGATAAGTGATAACGAACCAGAAACGGACATGATGATACAGCAAGTAATAACATATGTTAAAAGGTCTCTACCTACCACCAACAATCTGATGAATCAGCAGATACCAGAGAAGCAATATATATGAAACACAAAAGCACCTGTGTAATGTGTCACAGCCTTAAAGAGGAATAAACATTCTCACTTTTATTTAAAAGTCAAGGAAAACCAACCAGGAAATTGACTTCTTCGCTGGACTGTTACATGTATAGCATATAGCATGGAATATCAACCGCATATTTCAAACACTGCTATCAGAGAAATTTGATACATAATTACTGATACACTGTAAAAACTATCTGGCAAAAGTGCGGCACATAAACACAGACATAAACGGCAAGCACTATCTGAGATATACTCGGCACATACACAAAGACATATACTGCAGAGACTATCTGAAGTATAGCTGGCACATAAACACAAACATAAACGGCAGAGATTAACTAAGATATATCCGACACATAAACACAGACATAAACGGGAGAGATTATCGAAGATATATCCGACACATAAACACAGACATAAACGGCAAGGACTATCTGAGATATACTCGGCACATACACACAAACATAAACGGCAGAGATAATCAAAGATATATCCGACACATAAACACATACATATACGGCAGAGACTATCTGAGATATAGCTTGCAAATAAACACAGATATATAAGGCACGGAAGATCTGAGATAAAGCTGGCACATAATCATAGACATATACTGCAAGGACTATCTGAGATATAGCTGACACACAAACAATGCTATATACGGCTAGGACTTACTTGGTGAAGGTTTGACACATAAATCAAGAGGAGCGATGCTGGGATCTGAAGTTTCATCTTTCGGAACTTCGACATCTCTGAGAAAAATAAAATAAAAGACAAGATTAGGGAATGGCATCAACAATGTCCTTCAGTTTCAATTTGATTGTGTAAAATGAAATTTCATTTGTTGTTGGTTACTGTACGTCTTGTATTCAATTGTGTAGGTGTAAGTTTGATTCTCTTAAAACTATCAAATAAAATACTTTATCCCTCAACGTATCTCTGTCTATTTCATGTCTATGGTCAACCCTTTAGTCTCATTCAAGTTTACATTACATGACATTTTACAATCTTATTTCCTATGATTTTTTTCTCTGAAATATTTTTTTTATTGCCGATCATTATGTTTATGTATTTTGTTCCCGACCCCTTTACCATACGTGTACAAAATGCCAGCAATGAGAGCAGATGATGCACCAACACTTTATAATGACCTTCACTAACACTTAACTGTAGATAAATAAAGGAATATAACGGTTACAAATCAGGTGATCAAGGAAATATGTACGACAAAAGAGACGGGTGCTAATAAAACCCCTAAAACGATATAAATTTACGATTTTCACGTTACTATTATGGAGGCACGGCAGTCTAGTGATAGGACGCCGGGCTCGTGACCGAAGGGTTGCGGGTTCGAGTCAAGGCACGGCACTGTGTTGTAAAGGCCCTATCACCACGGATACTAATTTGTGAACCGCTTTGAGACGACCTACGGACTAGGTTGTGATAAAGCGGTATATAAGAACCTCGAATTATTATTATTATTATTATTAAGAAAAGTACTGTGTAGTGAAGATAATCCCTTAATAATGAGAAACACGACTAATACGCATTACCTGCGTCTGTCTGGTGATAAAGTATCCTTTCTCAGATGTTGGATTTCTAAGCATTCAGCAGCTGTATGCTCGTCCAAGGCCGTCGTCGTGGAAACCTCCATCTCGGTGGTGTCCTCTGTCATGTCATTCTTAGTGATCTTGTCCAGGCGTTGTGGAGAACAGTTGTTTGGCTCTAACTTTGCAGTCGTCTCTTGGTTGTCGTTTTGATCTTTTTCCTCCTCTTTTTTGTACTTGTTCTCCAACCAATTGTGGCGCGGAAACTCCTGGACTAGTCTATCCATGCCGCCGGAAGGTGTTACTGACTTAAGCGTACCTTTAATGTTAACTCTTCGTCGCTTCGGCGCCAAAATTGTTGGCAATTCATCTTCATCTGAAAAATAAATAAAAAAGGTCTATGTAGCTTGTACACGTGAACACTTTAAAGAGCATATTTGCAAACAGAGAGTAAATCTTAACTAACAACAACCGATTGAAATTAAATATTGATGAAAATATAAGGCCTACAAGACTGATTCATATCAAATTGGAAAAAAATATGTTTCATAGTTGTAGTAAAATATATAAAGTTTATATTTATAATATATTCGTGTATGCCACGGTGGAGAAAAAAGCCTCTCCTGCAGACATGATGTGTAATTTCCGTATACTATAGAACAAATATGGCATTGCTGTATGTTAGAGCGTATGTGCACATACAGTACTTGTGAATGCTATATAGGAAATAAGGTAAACGTTTATACCACAAACAGCATTTATGAAACAATGCATACTTAAACCGTGGCAGTGGAGTTACGGTTTCCCTGTTTATACAAACATGGTGACAATACAGATTCCGTTTCCGGGTGTGATCAGAAACATTATTCAATTGCTACTTCATGCAATCACTCGCCCATTCTGGAAACGCTACCTTTCAAAATGGTGAAAATGTTTTTAGAACGAGAATTTCCTTATAATAAAGTATAGTATACATAGTTCTAAAACGATGAGATGTACTAATATACAAAAAACTACATACTGATGTCAATATTATCTCATTCTATTTGTGTGATATAAAATACTAAAAACTTATGCATCTTTTCCATACTTTTATAGATCCTGTTAGTACTAGACAATTCATAGTGACCGTTAGTTTCCAGCTTTCTGTGTTGCGTGTATAAGGTAACAAACAGTCATCTAGGTTACAGGTGATACTTACTGTGTGTCAATAGCACTGACACTATCACTCCAACCCACACAAACAGAGAACCAATTTGCAACGGAATGCACTGTTGACTTAAGATCTCCGAAGAACATGCTGATATCGCTATCAGTAGATTTTATGTAGAACAGGGTCAAACATACGCACAAACAACATTGGATCTTCAAACAGGGCAAAGATAAAAATAATCCTAGCGAACGATGTCGCGATGGCCCCGTATAGGATCAATAACCCCGCTACAAAGCGTTTACACTGATAATGATCAAATCCATTTTTGATAATGCTTAAACTTAAGATGACATACTAAGATTTTATTTTAACTGGTATGTTTATTTTAGTTTTTATTATTTCATGTATAACATTATTTATACAATAAACATAATATCACTTCTTGTAGATAACAGTTATGTTATACGAGTTAGCATTGATGCATTATAAAAGTGTATAACCACTTAAAACATCTTTACTAGGTACCTTTTTCTGAATGACTATTGCTGCATTGACCTTTGAACTCGAGTCTTTATCGTTATGCTACATTCGTACGGTAACTTCATTTCAACATACTACGTAGTATTATTGCCAGCCTAATATGCAGGAACTGCGGAAGCAGGACTTACCTTACAATGCCAATGGTCGTAACGCTAGAGTATCTGCAATGATCGCCTGATTTTAGATCCAGCCAGTAATGCAGAGTAAAACTTGTTTTAACACAGGCATTACGGCTTAATCCGCGAACACCGGTACAGGGGGACATTATTCAAACGGATGTAGTATAAGTGGCGGGGCCGGTACGTATGAGGAACTCTCCACTTACACGTTTACTTCCTTGGCTTACTATTGTTCTCATGTGAAAGCACTTGTGAACAGATTACTCATACACAAATGTAGGCATCCAATTATTTTAACATAAACCAAAATAAACAAATAAAAGTCAGATCGGCCAATTTAAAAATGTTACATTCTGTACAGTATTTAGAGGAAATGCAGCTGCTTAAAAATAAAATAACAATAATGAAATTCAAATAAATGGAAATATCTTCATTCCTGTCCAATTAAAGGTGTTGATGATTAACAGAAAATAATACGATTAAACGTAAAGTTGGAGCCATCTACTTGGCATATTTCATATCAAATGCATTATCAAAAAGGTATTGCTAATAAGTATAACATCTCGTGAATTTTCAGTAATTGTTTTACGTTACAAAAAGTAAAAAAATGATCTATAAATAAAATCATATACTTTCGTCTTTTAACATTTTTACCTTTCCTGTAAAGAATCATTAACACGCCCTGTCGTAATGTGCTATCATAGTATAGAAAGTATTTGTTATATAATAAATGAGATCATGTCAGTACTATATTCGGTATGACCTTGCACAAGTTTGAATTAACATTTTAACAGGTGAGGTCAGATAGTGATAAATGACAGCCGGATGTGACCCGAATTATTTGGTGATGCCATGATAAGGAACATCATTGACAATTAACGCTAGAACCGTTTTGCATTTTCTTGCAGCTTTCAGCAATTAATTTTCAATGCTATTCGATGGAAGAAAAACAAAATTAAATTGAAAAAAGTATGTGCCGACCTCGTATGGTAGGATGGTAACTGCTGTACTGGCAACATACTAGAACGGAAAAAATNCCCCATAAAAAAAGAAATAATAAAAAAAGTATGGCTGTCACGAGCGATGGAACAAGGCCAAGGCTATGCTACTTTGGAATGGACGTTATCCGTCCTCAACGTTGATACAGTAGTATAGAAGTCCTTGTGAAGGACGCTGAGGTTACATTATTTATTGTCACAAGCACGGAGCATCTACCAAAGCCATAATGAGACGCAGAACAGGATGTTAATGAAAGGTGATATATTTCTGTTGAGTAGAAAAAAGAAGGAATGTTGGTGTTCGTGAAATTGTGTTTCTAGGAACTTGGTCGAAAGGTAACTTTTAGTGTCGTGCTGTATATAAAAAAAGGTATTCGCAAAAAAAGTAATGATTTATTCACGTAACTGTTCAACTATTTTGTAAGGAGATAGGTCTGAAAAAAATGTTAAGCAAGAAGGAAACCACACAGATATGATATAGACTTATATGTGAAATAAAACTATTGGACACGAAGGATAATCCTATTCTGTAAAAGACTGCCAAAAGATATCCACAAAGTTGTCTTCCTCGTCGGGAGTCGTAGCGGTGCCTATTATCGCACCAGCGAAATACTTGCAAACGCTCTCGAATATGGTGTCTATCCTTGAATCGTATTAGCATAAACTAAGTTTAAAACAAAAACAAAGACAAATAAAACTTTCATATAAAACACATGCTTATTTTGCATCGCAGGGGGTATTGAAGCTGGAAATTTCAACATTCGGGCGAAACATTTCCTTACATCAACCAACGTAAACGGTCCGGATCTTATAACCTACGTCAACACTCACCTAAAGTATGTTTATCCACACCCTCTATGATCCCTTTAATGTCAGGAAATTCTGGCTCTTGTTTCTTCTTTCCGCGTCTGCCCCTTTTTGCAGCAGAAATACGTTGTTTTTTTGGGCAAACTCTTCTTGAAGCCCTTCGACCGTTTACTGAAGGGTTAGATCTAGTGCTTTTACGTTTGTCATTGTCATTTGAGCGATCGGTTATAAGTGAATGATCAATACTGTCCGTGTCATTTTGTGTTTGTTTATTCTTTCTAGGAGATCGTGATATGGTGAGCATTAGTTTCTGTTCAGTGTTTTTAGTAGCAGAGGATTTCGCTTTTGAAAGGTCTGTCTTTCTAACATATTTGCGTTTCTGTCTTACAGCGGTCGCTTTAGTATCAGAGGCTTTGATGTTGTTTACGCTTGATGTCTCTGAAGGGGAGTCTTTGGTGCTCTTTTTCTCACGAGCCTTTCGTTTCCCAGACACTTGCGGTAGCTCTGAAATCACAAGCGCCGATTGTAACTCTGATAGTGTACCTGATACCGAGTCAGTTTCATTAGCTTCATTTTTACAAACAATCTCCTCGTTGGTATCGACAGAAACTGTTTGAGGAATGTCGGTGGATACGGTATCGATATCGCCAGTATTCTCCTCATTCACGTCATCTGTGTCGATCTTCGCATTTTCATTTTCTTCCTGTGGAATGTCTATTTTGAGTGGATGATGATCTTCGTCATCGGAATACCTGACGGTAGCGTCACTCGCGTCACTGTCATAGTTCGTTTCACCCTTAAACGTTTCTTTTGCGGTAATTTCTTTATCCTTAGCTGATAGAGTGCATGTACTAACAAGTGCTGTAACGGCGCTTTCCGCTTCAGCCTTGTTGATACAATCATCGCTCGTCTCTACCGTAACCGTCACCAAGGAAATCATATTTGAGTCATTGTTATCATTCATTGCAGATTCTTCCACAGAATCCGCATTTGATACAATATGTTCTTCAGCTCCGATAAAATCATTATTTGACACAACGTATTCTTGTGCTCCAATGGATTCCGCATTTGTCAAAACAATTTCTTCTGGTTTGATTGCATCTATACTTGACACAACAGAATCTTCCATTCCGACCGAATCAACACATGCTTCTTCTTTATTTTGAGTCAACTTGGATGTGGAGGTAACCTCTGTAGAGATAATGTTCGCATCCATGTTCGTCGATTCAGACATTTGTTCATCGACCTCTTTCTGTTGAAATTCTATCGTTTTATTGTCAAACGGATCAATTTTGCCGTTTCCGTTAACCGAATTCTCGATTACGGACTTTGAGGAGAAGTTTTCTTCTGAATCGGAAACACATTGTGTTTCTTGCGCTCGACATGGCTCATTCCTGTCAATAATTTCCTCTGGTTCCGATGCAGTATGGCAGGTTTCACACGGTTGAATGCTTTTAGAAGCGTTTTCGTCTATAGTCTGTTTCACTGGGAGGTCGATCATATCACCCTCAATAATACCGACTTGATTGCTATCATTTGATGAATTTACTGTCTCTATTTCTTTAACCTTCTCATTACATGACGAGTCATCTTGGGCACCGTCCGGAAAGGAATTGTTCGTTTCAACCATGATGACTGTCAGTGAAGTGACATCATCAGGTTTGGTATCTGCTTCATTTTCAATTTGTTCTTGAGCATCATCAGACACAACACAACCGTCTTCAATTACCTCTTCTTTGTTGTAAGTAGTCGTGTCATCTTCTGTAGTAGTCATTTCTACAGCCACATCCGCATGACCGACTGTTGTGTAGTCCATTAGTTCTAATATGGGCGGTGGAAGCTGAGAGGAGTCTTCTTCATTGCAACATGTTTCAGAAACGCTTATCAACGCAGGTGATTCATCTGGTATCTGGGGTGGAATGGGCGAAGTATTTATAATTTCAGGTGATTCGAGTGTGAACGATTCGGTCTGTGTTTCGATCGATTGCTGAGTAGGGGGACCAGGTATTTTTACAGATTTTAATTTTGATTTCAGTTTTGAAATATCGAAGTGAGGAACATGTGGAATTTTCGATTTGTTTGATGAATCTTCTGCTGACTGCGGATAGGATACAGCATCTGGACATTGCAATGCCTCTTGCATTGATGTGTCACTTTTTACATCAGCTACCTCCTGAACATTTGTATCTTCAGATGAGTCACTACATGACATGGTTTCGCTAATTTTGATTGGATCTGTACATGTTGATTGAGTGTGTGCGACAGATGATAATGGGGAAGCGCATGATTTGTGAGTGTCACTATCCCGGAAATTGGACGACTGCAGTTTCTCCACTTTCACTTGGATGTGTCTAGAAAACATATCTGGATACATTTTCTGTAACGCGACTTCGAGTTTACCTGACGAAATTGGAAGATTACTGAGACTTATTCTAGTTTGTCCTAAATTTGAAAATGCATCAAAGTAGCTCGTTGTTTTTGTTTCAAACTCACATCCTATTTCGTCAATGTTGGCTTTCCATTTCGAACTATTTTCTAATAGCATAATTTCTTGGTCACTCGGAAGGGTAACTGAGTTTTCCTTCATCGACATTGAGTCTTCCAGATCGTCCACTCCTGACGAACAAACCATATCTTTATTTTTGGGAACACTGGAATTTACTTTTACAATGGTATCGTCCACATTGTGCGTTTCCCTAAAGGCCTGATGGGTAAGGTCTAAATCGTTTTGTTGATTTGGTATAAGACATTTGGTTTTAAGAGCACTTATATCATCATTGTCATTGTTTCGATGTATGCCAGGACTTTGTGTCTCTTTATCGATCACTCTGTCAGATCGTCCGCCGCGAGAACGACTTCCTTTAGGGCGTCCAACCGGCCTTCCCCTACCTCTATGTGGAGGTCTCTGAGAGGGAAACGGTCTAGAGTGATGTCCCCTTCGCGATATAGGACCTCTGCCTAACGAGTAACCAAAATGGTTACTTATACCACGTTTCCCTTGCATATCTATTTCTGGATATGTTTTTACTGGTCTAATTGTCAACTTAGGAATTGGTGGTTTGTCTGACTGATTCCATCCAGTGGTTCGTTCACAGTCATGGGATTGCGAGGAAATCCAGTACAAATTGCTGTCACAAGGAATACAAGATTTGTTTTCATGTTCATACGGAAATGGTCTTGCATAACGTAGATTTTGATCGACATTATAATTGCTGGGGTAATCCCAACCTGGGAACTGTTGTTGAGTTGAATCCATCCCAAACATGTTGAACGGGTAACGCTGTCTCCTCTGATACTGCGTATCGTAGAACGGTTCCGGCTGTTCCTGCAAAAACAAGCAACAAACAGTTAACATTTCATCCAACAAAAACATTCATATCCGATTGTATTAAGCCTACAAAGAATTACTTCATTATCTTCACCATATTTCACCAAAACATACCAGTGGAATATCTTGTAACGGAATTAGTTAACAGGAACAAGGCTTCGAGATATTTAAAGCTAGTAAAAATCGACTTTATTTCTCATTTTAATCAAAGCTCATTTTCATTCCTAATAGATTCAATCTAATTAACACAATCCAATGGAAACACACCGTGTAAAAAGCATACACCATGGAAACGTCATGTTAATTAATCCGCGGTCGCAGAGTTTTTAATTTTGAACTCGCAAACCTCGTCTTCCGTTGTATTTCTGCTAATGAGGTTCCGTGAGTCTTTGTACAACCCACTCCTTGCAGAGGTTGTAATATATAACCAACTAAACTATACTTGATTGTTATTGATTGGGAAAAGGGGTATACTATTGAATTGTAAATAATGAATCTAATGAAACCGCATCAAGTGACCGATCAATTTCCATTTCGTGAATAGAGAACTGTTGTCCTTTTGTCATATGTTAGATAACACGCTCGGGAGACCCATCCAGTTCGTTCAAATTAGCATCAATTTCTCTATTCGATCGTGATACAATATTACATTACAACATGTGTTATTGTTGAGCTTGGAAAATTCGTTAACAACATGTGTTATTCAAGGGGTACTTCAATATTATTATTCAATTGTTTTGTAAGTTATACATTACCGTTGTAATGATATACGTTTAGTAAATTCATCTTTTAGTGATTTGGTTTTAATGTGGACACCAGGGCCCAGTTGTTCAACCGATGATTATCTTAATCACTGTTTAACGACATTTTTGAACCTTTTATAATTTCGTCAATATACAAGGTACATTAACTCTGAATACTTGATATCTGGAAAGTTTTAACTCGGTGGATAGGTGTGTTTCAAAGATACACATACATTGAAATTTTCGCTTATCACTGATTTAGCTAATCACACTTTAAACAACTGGGCCCAGTATTCTCATGATAATAAGAGAAGGTTAATGCGCGATCCATTTCCATCAAATATACTATCAACATCCGGCAAATGTCGGACTTTCCCGAAGTGTAGGATGACGTAATAAAAGAGCTCTAAATTATTTTGATACTTTTTATAGAGGGTGTTGCTTTGTAAAACGGATCTTTGAGCTAGCTCCATTCTAGCATAAATATGATTTTTGGGAGATATAATTTGTCGGAACAGAAAATATTAATACGCATGCTGTAGCAATGCCATTACATAAACTAACTAAAACAAAAGCTTGTATTCATTTTGGCTTGATCGCATTTTAGGTCCTATCAACAACTATGGTCATTTGAGGACGAGCAAGGTTTTTGTGATGTAGGGAAACTGGAGAACCCGGAGAAAAACTACTGACCTGCGGAACCATTGAATTTGGAAATTGTTTGATACCTTTGTTAAATGAAATGGAATAGAACTATATTTTAAAATATCAGTTCCTGAACTTTATCCATTCTATATCAAATTATTCCACAGAAACAATAGTAAAACAAACCAAAATTTACAGCAATATCAAACTGGCAGAGATTGTAGTTAACTACAGCTGAAATTCACTAAGCTATATTTACATTTTTTAATTATTTGAAATATCGACAATATTTGTATTCTTATTATTATAGAACTGTTTCAATTTCGTCATGACTACATGTTTCCTGAAACTTAACCCAACTTAACCCAACTTAACACTATGACATGACATTACAAATGAAACAGCTGTTTATCACATATGTCTTTTCATTTTGTATTATAATAATAACCTCATAATACAATAGTTGTATTATATTCTAGAGAATAAGCACATCAGTCGTAAATAATTCGGCATCTGTGACGGATTATTTTAAAGAAAACAATATCGCATGTTACGTTACTATTGACAATACATTGTTTTTTGACAGGTAAATTAGAAAACCTATATTGATAAGGACAAGTACGGAATTCTACTTCACATGAAGATACAACGTCAGCAAAATTAAAAAAAACACACTACAATAGCACTGAAGACTAGAATCGATATTCCATAGGAGGCGCGTTTCATTCACTACATATGCCAAGCGTTATAATGCTTCTTTATCAATGCAGTTCTGCAAATATGATGCACGGTAGTCTAGTGGTAGAACGCCGGGCTGGTGACCGATGGGTTGCGAGTGCAAGTCACGACACGGCATTGTGTTGTATATTTGAGCAAGATACTTTACTCCGCTTGTTCCAGTCTACTCAGCTGTAAATGTGCGCGTGGTTGGGCAGTGCTAGAATTGTAGAATGCTAGCTATGAGCGCCGAAATGGCACCACCGGCTGTATGCTCCCCAGGGAGTTGAGAAAGATATCAGCTGGTTGCAAAGGCCCTATAACCACGGATAATAGTTTGTGAACCGCTTTGAGACGACCTATGGACTAGATTGTGATAAAGCGGTATATAAGAACCTCGAATTATTATTATTAATATTATTATTATTATTATTAAATAGAAGATGTCAGTACCTCGTTCACTAATTCACCTATCTGTGGTATCCTGAAGACTACCCTTGCCGTTAAATGATTTAATTTGGAGAGAGGTGTTCTAGAATAAGTAGAGTCGTTGAATATTTTTATGCGTCTGCATCCCGATTTAAATTTCAAGAAATGTTTTTATCATCTCATCTTTAAAATATACGACGATACTAGTGAAGGTATTTCCTGAAATGTATTTTGTATTTTAAATAAACATTACAATGACATGGTCAAATACGGTATCAATAAATCTTAAGAACGACAAATTATGGTTAGCAACAATGTATTAAATGTATTGAAACATAAAGGCTACGTTTTATAATGATTATATATATCAGTATTCAATTAATAATATAATATTCGTGTGCATCATTTATATTCATATTGTGATTTCATTAACAGAACTTCCATCGGATCAATTAATATTTGATCCCAAATAACAAACTATGTGTTTACCTGTGTTATAGAAGTGACATACCCGCGTTGGCAGTTTATATTAGTCATGAATCGAACCGTTCCTGTGTTTTAAACCATCCAACGCTGATGACACCGTACGTACAAACAATCCAACGCTGATGACGCCATATACAATACGTATAAACAATCCAATGTTGATACATACAAAAGATCCAATCGTGGCTGCAATATGCTAAACTGTACAGGTCATATTACATATCACGTGATATATAGTTCCAGCACGTCAATGTTTACAGGTTGTGCCAATCCTGTCTCGGCTAGTCCTGTGTAACACCGCGCTCTGACTGATAGTGTCTACACGTTTTACACAGCATTGCACAAGTAATGTAGGCCAGTTATGTATCGTGAGTGAGTGAGCTTCGTCCTCCAACTCAACGTCTGATAAGCCGGAAATACTCAACAGCATTCAAATAAACAGTCATACATTTCCTCCTCTAACTCTACACTCTGAAACGTGAGTCCGCATTCAATAGCTGTATGTTAAGTACGATCGCCAAACCTATCATCAAGAGCTCAACACTACAACTGGAGATGTATGTATGCTAACAGCAGAGGTATACGTGGCGCTCTCTGACGAAGTGAAAGTACAAATATATGGCTGTACACGGACGGAAATACATAAATAGTTGCTGAACGTAGAGTAGTAGCTTGGTCAATTATTAAATACTATCTAGTCACGCCAGGCGGATTTAACAATGCATCATATCGTCAATTCATAAGTCTGAAGGTTTTGGTAAATGCTTGGTCGCTGTTATTTCATTTTTATCACTATGTAAAAAGCAAAATGGTCCAAATTCCAATCACATGTACATGACACGGACAGCACGTAACTTCTTTGTGCTTTATTTGGTTACCCACTGACTTTAATCCGTAAACGCTGGATAATGATACTAAAGAATTTATGGATGCACTTTTGCGTTAATATAAAAATATCTCGATGCCTTAATGCCTGAATGAAATATATTCGTTATTGGAAATTGTTTATACAGATGTATCCTGAAATATAATTCTATGTATTTCAAAACTGCAATTTGATTGGGATATTATGATCATGTTTTAAACGCTTGAGTTTGTGAAAATGCCTTTAAGTTTATATGTCTGCGTACGGCTTTTTCTCTGTACTATTGTTAAGTCCAATACTGAGATCAAAGGAAAACAATATCTCATCATGCTTGACCTCACGCGTGTGTTAGCCCAAAGTATGTCGCGTTCAATTGTCTCTGATACTCGTTTGTCAAGTTTGAGTTCCAACCTGGGCAAACTGAACTGAAAAGTTTAAACAAAGGGTATACTTTTTGTGTTCGTTTATTTCTTAGTCTTGTTTGATATTGCTAGGGACTATACGGTACCCTTTGCGTAACAAACATCGATATGTTCTTCACACGATAATTGTAATATGTACAACGGTTGTAAACACAGTTTGAAGTAAGTTGTATTGGTTTGCTATGTTTATTGGTATTAAATATCGATAACAGGAACCCTACAATGTATGTTTGTATACGTCCATCCCTGTATCAACTATACAGAAACAATGTACACTATATATATAAATCTTTGTTTTTATCGGATAACTAGGGGGAAAAGAGTTCTAAATGGTTTGGACATGTTCGATTAAATTGACAACATGCTTTCCTATGTGATCAGATATCAACGACCGAATCGACATTTTAAAAGAGAAAGCTATATACATTACATACATGTATCACATAACATAAAAATAATTGCAAGCTTATGTATATATATATATACATTTCATATCTTATCATATCTTCACTTGTCGAAATCTCATGCTTTATGCTGTAGTTGTTCCTTTTAAATGCTAACAACTTATCATAAAAGCCGTCCTGATGTGTAAACATTTAAAATGTTTATTATTGTAGTTATGTGTGGGTTCAGGGACAAAATCCGGTACAACTTGGTGTGTTTATTTCATAAACCGGTTTGGAGAGCTTTCCAATAGAAAAAAAAAGGTTTATGTTCATATTTTAAACCGGTGCATTACTTTGATGTGTGTCTAAATGCGTCTGTTAAAATTATCGTTTGGTTTGAACCGACTTGTTAAAATCATTTAATAACTTATCACACGTTCACATTAATAGTGTTTTCATACCCACCAAGTTTTAGTTATGTTTTAAAATATCGCTATAAAGCCTAATGTTTTGACGTGTTTTGGCAGTTGTGTCAGTGAATTTCTGCGCAGCGCTCAAAACGTGACGTGCTATCCTGACATTACTTGACCCTGACCTAGATTTGCTTGGCGGGTGTCGTCGATTAAGCTAGTGACGCTTACCTTTCTATAACATATAATTATGTTTAATTTTTCTTGTATTTTGCAATGATCTCAACTTAAAAGATATTTTATCTGTATCTCGCGTTAGGTATATTCGAATGGGAGGTCGAATTTCAGTTTTTAGTAGGAACACAAATTTACATTTATGCAAATTATTCCAATGGAAAGCCATACATCTTAAAGCATTACAGGTAATGGCCTTGACATTGTGAGACAGAATAAACAAGTTTAACTAATTTACATATGCATGAAAATGAAGTGTCACAAACAAGTACTCGTTATTCACTTGCTATATAACCGGACATCCGGTGTGTGCTGAGTGTGGACTTGGTTGTAGTCTGATATCCCTGTCATTGTTATGTTGCACAAACACCTGTGTGTTGTAGATAAATATAGCAGTAGATGTGTAAGTTACATATGATCCTAATATGGTATTGGCGTATAAAACAGACGGTTCGAGGGAAAATATAACAGCAATAGTCTCCAACGTAACATACAAGTATTCATTCTTAATTTTGTTCACTATTTCATCGATGTTGCGTTGAATTACCCCTGGTTTACGCGCTTTTCTTGTGTTAAACTCACGAGTGATAACTAGCTGTGAGGCTTATGAATAGTTGTCAGAAACTAATACATGTCGACTTACAGGAGACGTAAATGTGAAAAACAACGAGTGTTTGCATAAAGACTATATATATACAAGTATATATGGGTCAAAGAAGTAATATAGACGGTAAAATCCCATATAACACTGGATCCTAATAGAGGTATGTCCGTAGGATACGAATTACTTAAAATAGTATATGGCCCCATATACTAGTATGTATATATATCTACACATAACAGAGTTGTATAATATCCTTATTACACAAAGAATGCTACAGCAGTGCCCTATAATGTAGGTAACGGACCTGATGACAGGCGCAGGAACATAACACGAGGTACGACCAACACGTTTACATTAACATATCATCCCATTATAAAGTGTATAAGATCGCCTGTTGTAAACCAGATTATAGGTTAAACTAATGAGTCGAAATACACTCCACATCATAAACCAATATTGATTTCAATGAACATATTACACTTTTTGAATTTGCAAATCTTTTAAGCCAGATATTATCGGCCCAAATAAATGAATGACCAGAAGCAGGTAAACTGATTGTGACCCGCATGCATTGGATTCAAAACTATTAACACCGAGTCTGAAAAACCTATCAATGGGCGGTTCACATAATACTAGAACATTACTGACACTGTCTAGCATCTTGAATAGATGGCGACAGCTGTCCCAGATTGGCAACATCTGAGCTAATATCACACAATGAGGCACTTGCATCATGCAGATATAAATGGTATTATTTATTGCCGAATAGGGCTGTGACGCCTTATTCTGGTGTGTGAACTATATCATGTTAAAAATAGTATTGACATCACAACATACCGGGATGTAATTATCCTACCCATATCGAGGGAGACTTTTATAAGAGTTCATGACCCTTCGTCCCCTCATGTCGAAATCGGGTAAGAAATAGAATTATATTATTTACTAAACACTGTTAATATCAGTTATAACGTTAGCATGCTTAAAATTACCGGGGGTAAAGTGGACATGGCTTGGCTAGATATGACACGTGCCAGGCAGATATAGGTCGGGCACGAATACAGCCTAAGCATAGCGAGTTCCTTCAATATTTATCACGGTCCTTATCACAGACAAGTATATGATAGAAATAATCACATTCAACACTATATTACATTGTTTTAAGGTTCACTCACTTAATTTATTTATTTGAAGGTTTTCCATTGCGACACACAACAGTATTTCAATAATTGGTGACAGTATTATTTCAAATTCTACTCTGATACCGCCCATAAGTCTACCATTAATCACTACTATAAACATTAAATGCTACAAATTTCTTAATACTTATCGCTTCCTGTTGAATATGAAAGTAAACCTCTTTATGCTATAAATAGTAACATTTGCACCTTACGTAAACAGTCTGTCGTACAAACCTGAACACTCGTTATTCCTTCATGTAGGTCCCGTTCACAAGTCATCATACTTAATGTATATCCAGCAGATAACTAGCATCACTTTCTTTATCAAACCAGCATTTGTCGTTTTGTATCAAACCTTCCGCTTCCGGGTATGTTCATAACACTTAAAAATGATTCAGCTACATGACTAATGGCCTCGTCAAAATGACAGTACATAGTTATTATCTTCGGCATACAGTCCTATAAAGACAGTTTGTATGGCGCCGATCGAACATTACGAGTGATAAACATATTGGTTATTGCCGACAGGTTGTCACTGGTTTACCTGTCTCCGATAGATTTACTCAGAGTTCCTGGGTGAATTATAAGTTATTCATAAGTCCATACCGTATGTGTTGGTCGGTGATTGGCTGCAGTACGATATTGATATTTTCATAGCATATATAATTGTTTTTCGCGCTCTATCTAGCAGTAGACACACACTGTACAAACATAGTCCATCACTCCATACGTTGTCACAGACTAATTCATGCTTATTGTATATCGATACTGAATCATTAAACGTGATTCTTACAGTTTTAGTTGGTTTTGTATAATGCAGAACGGTATTTATATGGGTGCTATAGGTCCACGTTACCCTGCACTGTTGTCACACATGTTGTCGCCTAGACAGCGTTTTTGTATCATGCCACACCTGTGCCATTGTCAAGGTTTTAATTGTTGATCGCAACATGCTTAGTGATCTGTTTAGTGATAACATTTAGTGAGGAATCAATGTAGAAATTTTCATCATCAATGCACCCAAATGTTGACTAGTGAGTTTTCCGTTTTTTATATACATCTTTATACTCATATAATGGTCTAGTTGTATCACGTTTAGACGAGAATATCAAAATGCCACATCAATATTATCCCCTGTGCTGTAAAACACCTTCTTGGTTGCTACGCAACAGCCACATTTAAAAAACGCACTTACTATACATCCTTTAAAACACATATCTGGTTTACAATCTCTAGTGTATTTTCATGCGTTTTTACACGTTTTTTGTGTTGCGAGTTGGCTTGACAATAGATGTCTGTGGGAAAGAATATGAATTTTTTGCCGATTTAATGGTTCACCGACAGGTTCAGTAAAACAAGACATATATCAAAACTAAAAATCACATAGGAAAGGACTCAGGATCACTATGTATTGTCAATGTGTCCCACACACAAAGGAAATCCTGACCTATTTTGCCGTAACATACTAAAATCTTATCTACTTCATGGTTATTATTGAAGATGCTTAAATCACATAGCTATAAAGCAGGCCACGGAGATGATCAGCAGTTTATTGAGGTTAAAACTGAGGGCTCTCCGATAGAAAACCCTGGCAACTAAATTCACTTGTCAACATGACACAATTATCCAGAAATGTATTTGTCGACAGGAAACTCGTATTCATGAATTTATTTGTTGACAGGACACACGTATTCATAAACTTATTTGTCGACAAAACACACGTATCCAAACATTTGTCGACAGAAAACAGGCAGTCAGTAATGCATATGCCGACAGGACCCACGTATTAAGATATTTATAAGTCAACGGTACACACTTGTACCGAAATATACTTGTCAACATGATATGCCTATTCAAAAAGTGTATCTGTCGACTAGACAAACATATCAAGATATACCACGGAAAACTCGCGAGCAGACATTTGTTTGCCGACAGAACCCGCATATCAAAATATCGTTGGTCGACAGGACACACGTATTCTCGACAGACCAGTAACAAGGGAATTAAAATGTTACCAATGAACAAATTTAAAAGTACAATCAGGACATTGCACACAGTGAAATAAGTAAGTATGTTGGTTTTAAGTCATTCTAGATCATCACACACACATGATACTGTGGTTATATATAGAACATTATTATCTTTATAGAACACTCGCTTCACGTGACCTCCCGTAAACCTTTCGTTATTGTAAACTCTTAAAAATTAAGAACGGTTACCTCTGAAAAGAAGCATAGAAATGTGATAAAGCAACATGTATTTTAAATAATTTCTGAACATTGCTTGTGACAAATCACGCGTTCAGGTGGTAGTTGCATTCATATAGACCTTAGATGTTTGAAACTGTATCCGTGTGTTGACATTACGGTGTATGTTTCCTGCGCTCAACTTGTCACAACATGTACATTAAGAGTCGCATTCCCCCTGGTAATTGGATATGCTGTCTCATTGTAGGAGCTACCTTTGTCGTAGAATAATTGCATGGGTATCCAAACAAGTTTGACGTTGACCTATTGATGAATTTGTATGCATTAACCAACATTTAAATGTCAGACTTGTAAACAGAGTCCACGTGTTGATAGTCCTTTTGTGAACTAGCACGCTCTCATCTACTTACAGATGTTTTTGCCATTACGTTGTCTTGCATAACTAAACTCATAAAGGCGGTCGAAGAGATGACAACAAATGATCAACATGCTTGTTTATGAACAGGCCACACGTTGATAATGATGATATAAATTTACCTATATGATGATGTCAGGTGGTAAGGGATGATATGCATACACATACTTACATCTATTTTTATTTGATACTTGAATTCGATACACATTTCGAGCTCAAAATCGATAAATCTAGAGCAAAGAACTAACAAAGAAAAGAATTACATGCAGACCCTTGAAAAGGTACCAAGATAATAAGAACAGATGTTCCGGAAGGGTACGCGTCTTCTGATTTCGACGATATCCGCCATGTAAGTCAAGGTCAATTCAAGTAACGTCACGTCCTCATGTCGAAAATACAAAACCACAAGGCACACTAACGAGAATTATCAAAATCATCGACTTGAATATTTTACAAATCGGTAGCAATTCCCCAAGGCTATCATGATGGCAACCATAAACGTTCTCCATAGTACTTATCAACTTCAAAGTATTTTTAAAAAACTCTTCTTTACAAATGACTATGTACTGCATCATTTGATCTTCTTACATCAAATTGTCTTAACGTAAACTGTATGCCGTCATATTCTCTCTCCTATTCTAGCTAAACATTCCCAGCTCACTGTCAGAATTCCTATAGTGCTCTGTTAATATGTCTCAATACACTTTGTTTTCATATATATTCTCATATATATTTCGATTAGTCTGTGACTCATATATGAACATCTGGCAGTTTGGTGACATTGTGATAATTACTACGCAGTATTTCGTTGAATAAAGTACAGAAAAAGTTTGTGTCTGTTTTGGTCATTTTAGGTAAATACGTTTGGAAATGTGAGAAACAGGATCTTAAATGAGTTTAATGTCACATCAAAAAGGAAAATTACTTGTCATACTATGCAAGCCTAAAATGAAATGACAGTTCATAACATAAAACACGGATCAATTGCTATATTTAAGGTATTTACATCAGAAATGGTTGTGTCATGGCAAGATAGGCATTTACACACAAATTAAACAAGTTAATAAGATAATTAGACCTAATATACCGTTACACAGAGGTCATTATCTCCTGCGAGGTTGTGAAAACAGAACATAATTATGTTTCTAACATTTGAATTAAATATGTTTATGTATATATAGGTGACGGTCTTCCGAAGATAGCACTAAAAATTCTCTCAACATTTAAGTGGAGAGTGACACACGGCCACGGTATGTATAGTCTTACGTGTACCTCGACTATTCTATGTACATGTATCGTTTAGATCAGGATGGGTACTAATCAAAGACGAAACGGTACAATTCATCAGTACAAAGAAATACATATATATAATATAAATCATTTGTTAGGTACTAAATCCTCCATTAGCGTGACGTCACACCGTAAGTGTAAACAAGTGATACTAACACTGTGGACAGTAGAGGATGACAATTATTATGGAACAGTGACGAGCCCTTTTGGTTGTTGAAAAACATTGAAAACAAAGGTTCCTTTTGGGTTCTCCAGTTGTAGTTATATGCTGGACGATGTTTCCCTTTAAGACAAGGTTCTAATTGTTTTTGTTTTTATTATTATTTTTAAAGCCATGGCATTTTACATAATATCTCCAACAACATAACAATACCCCAATCTTAAAAAAACAGTCAATATAAGCTACCTTATACATGTATAGTGGTTCGTCAACGAAAATACTTGTGTGCAACACTTTGTCGATTGATGTCTCCATTAGGCCGAATCCTATCACACGTTGTGTTCCCTCAACGTTCAAAAAAGAATATCTCATAGAAACGTCCAGTGACTTTGTTAACATATAAAATAAAAGCCAGTTTTTTCATAGGTTGGGATGTTTTGAAGTAAACAGGAACAAAATATAAATTGAGATTGTTACAAAACTTAACCGTCTCTGCCTGCTAACATATTACACTACGTATTACAATAAGACACGATAAAGACTATTCCTACCTAGCACACGACACAGGGAAGATATTGTAGCATACAGATAGACAACATAGAAGAACTTTACAAAACATAGCATTTTAGTATATTTCTCGCAATCACATTGGCCGGATCCTATACACGTGATCAGTCATCAAACATTCATGTAGACTGGTTATCCGGTGAATACAAATTCCCCGCAACTTGTCGTAGGGCATGCGCAGTTAGACCGGAACGCGATCTGTCAGACGGCAACAGAAGATGGCTACTGGCGACCGGAACGCGATCTGTCAGACGACAACAGAAGATGGCTGCTGGGGAGCGCTGTGCCTCCGTTACATCTCGAAAATAAAGATATTGTTAACACACAAAAGGCCACCGATCGCAAACACAGGATTCAACCCTGAATAAATTTTACCCAGAGGCTCGTTCCAGTAAAGTAAATTCAGAACCTTGAGGGTTTTTTAAATTGATTTGTTGAAGCATTCATAAATAAACAGTTATAGGCTGGTAAATATGATGTGGTATGAACCTCACCTCGCCTCGTTCAATATCACATTTTCAGGTTCATATCACACCAAATTCACCGGCACAAAAGTCTATAAGTGTATAATTTCGGCTCTGGAATATTATATTCCGACTTTTCGTATTGCAGAATTATCTGCTCTAGTGAGCAGGTACTGATTGCTACGTCAATTGTTTGTGAGAGTAACGTCATAATTTTCTCACACAAACTTATGACGTCACAATAAATACCTGCCTACAAGAGCAGATAACTCTGTATTACGAAAAGTCGGAATACATTGAATCGCTGATCACTGTTTGTCATTTTCTGATGATATCGTGATATTTGACCATACCATTTAACGACACAGATGGTGTCAGCTGAGGACAGGCAATCATGTTTACAGGGGATTCAAAGGACAATCATTGTTAAAGGGAGAGGTCATGTTACTGACGCCGATTATGAGAGAAGAAAAGGTGTCATATTTCCACAGAATGGGAATTAACATAGGCAATTCCTAATCCAATTTGAAAAGCAAAAATAATTATTATTCAGATCACCTGTTCAAT